CAACACACGCAATGTATGTGCATTTGTTACGCGCATGCATAATGTATGCGTAAAGCATGCAAAAAAAAAGTGTGTGGCTTTAAGGTCTGGATTAAAGATCATTCCGTATAATGGACGTCCGGATTCCGACCTTTGTACTGTAATACTAATTGAGCAGTATCATTTATATGAATGCTTTCATCCATAGCTAAGGAGCAAAATTTAAACTGGCCAATTTTTGATTCTGATGTCAAATTTTTACCAATGTCTTCGATTCTAGATTAGCTTTTTGAGATAAGCTTGCAGTTTCAAAATTATTTTTCTTGTCTGGACATAAAACATCACAAACTTGGACCATGCATTGTTTAATGATCTTCCCTCACTGACAGCTTTATTATTTTTAGCAATACTGTATGCTACAATATAACTTGCATGTGTAACTGCTTCTTGGATACTGTTTACCTTCTTGAAAAAATTTTGTCGGCCTGGTAATTTTTTACAAAGACTTTCTGCATTTTGTTTTCTTTCATATTCGACATTGCTTCATAAGTGGAATTCTTATGATTAGATGGGAAATGTTACATTCTTTGAAGACTGTTTTTTCTCTGAAGACAGCTTCATTGCAGATGCGACACACTGGTTTATCTTTTACAACTATCAAAAATATTTCCAGGTCCATTTATCATTAAAAGCATGGTACTCTAAAGTCAACTTTACATTTTTTAGCAGCCATTTTAGGATTGAACCCATATTTTATGTATAACCCAAACAAGCACTAGCTACACTATACTTTTAGATTATTTTACCACTATTCACAATGATGCTATATGTCCGCAATCTTTCCATACGCAGTCAATAATATTGGAAAAGAAAAAGCCACTGGCTGAATCTTAAAATGCGCAGTCTGCCATGTGCGAGGTATAATTCACCTATATTGGATTCCTACATGTTTGCTCCCTGAGAAAGAAATAACACTTGTTGGTGACAATCTACAGCTATAACTAACAAAGAACTTCCACTTTTAACACTTTACTGATTGAAAGTCGTCTATGCTTGCTATTTTTCTCGATTTACGATTTGTAGAACAAAAATAGAAAAAGTAAAAAGATCAGCAGCCTTTTGAAAAAAGAAAGAAAAAAAAGTAATATTTGATTAAAGTAGAAAAAAGGATGGATGTATAATATACAAATATATATTTCTTTTAATTTGCCTCGGACTGGCAAATTAAAATTCCATCTGTGGGCCGTAGTTTGCCCAACCTTGGGTTAAGGTTTTCATGCCTTTAGTAAATTTGTTTGCAATATTTGTAGAATTATCAACAATTTAAAAGTTGCTTAAGTGCAGCTAAGCCTAATTATTTTTACCATGGCATCCATATTTTTTTACATTTGAAACTTGGCAGAATAGTGATTTGTTGTCATTAAAGAATAAAAGAAGGCGTAACCTTTCCTGTTGCAAAGCTTACGCTTTCTTTTATTATTGCAAATTAAATCATGCTTAATCCATTCTGGAAGCCTTGTAGAGAAGCGAGGACTGAATTAATTGAATGAGAAATACTGAATCGTCTGTGAAAAACTGCTTCTTTCTTTCTCTTTGGTTTGTTTAATTTCTTTTATACAGCATTTTAGATTTATTATAATATTTGAACTAGAACATGCGGCAACGGTTACATAATTCTTTACATGATATAAATTTTGCGCATTCTGAGTTATAAGATCAATTACCATGCCAGTAAACTCTTATCGTCATGCACGTTTTAGGCTTTATTCTCACTGAGCCAGCAAAATTACACTTTTGTGTAATAGTTTCGGCAATATGTTATAAGTTATATAATGAATAAAAAGTAACACTGTTAAGGGAACTTAGCATAGTGCCAGATTGTCACTATGGTAAAGAAATATAGTGAATTTTAAAGAGTGCATTAATTCTATTGTGGTGTATGTGCTACCGACAATGAAGTAGATTTAATTCAATCCTATAAGTTTAAATGAAATGCAAGAAAAAGTTTGTATAATTTAATATTCCGTACAAGGAAGTCATGTGGTATATACAACAGATTTTTTTCTTATGAGAAGATTGGGAATGGAGCTATGGTTTTAGAAACTCAGCTAAGTCTAGGTTTGTACAGTCAAAAGTCGTTAATTCGGACACCCATAATCCGGATCTCAAAGCTACAAACTTTCTGCGCATCCGTCCCCGACGCATGCGCATAGGTGTTTACGTATGTGCTTTTACGCGTGTGTACTTACATATGTGCGTTTACGCATGTGTACATATGTGCCTTTAGGCCTGCGCATGTGCGCATAATACGTTTACGCATGCACGTTTAATGTATAACGGATGGTATAAGCTCTAATTATGTATTTCAGTTAACGTTGCAGATTGCGTTGTTCCTTAATCTTCGAATTGGATCCGGCTTATTATTTTTTGCAGACTGTTAGAGCAATTTTATAAAAGTAAGCTTGAACTTTCGATTATGTCAAATAGAATTTCCGATGCTGGAGCTTCCAAAGGATCTACAAAGCGAAAGTATGTTTCGATGTCCATCAAACAAAAAGTGGAATTTCTGCAAAAAATGGATAAAGGCATATCCTTTATTTCTGTAACCATTCTGAAATCTATTTATCAATTTCACGCTGTTCTGCGGCAGGGAAGGGGGGGGGAACGCCACTGTCAGTACTATCCTTATGTTCAGGGCATATGTTTTTATTTTATTTGGCTAATAATAACTTACTAAATGTAGTATTTCATCTCAATATACTCCGTCTTTGATGTGATTTAAATTAAATTCCTCGTCATTATAATTCGCTTCCGATAGTGAAGAAATTGACAGAGAGGTTATTGAAAACGAAAACATTTCGATTGACAAATTACTTAGTATTCTCGACACAGCAACTATAGGACTTGAACAGCGGAACTTTGTAACTGAAGAAGAATTATGTCTGTTTATAGAATTAAAGAGAAAGTATTATCACATAAAACGAAGCAACTTAAGCAACTTACATTGAAAGAAATGTTTAATAAAGTAAACAAATAAATATTCAGCTTTTTTTTTTTTGTAAATTTTGATACTCTTTAGATCGTAATTGTTCTTTATTTCATAAAATACTGTTTCATATGTTTAATTTTATAATTTCTGCATGCCATCTTACCAGATTTAAACTGATGATCTATAATCTGGAAAGAAATCAATAATCCGGAATCGCCGAAGTCCCGACGAGTCCGAATTAACGACTTTTGACTGTATTCAGTTTGCATCTTCTTTAGATCGCAGACATAAGTTTTTTGCACTGTGTAATTGAGTTAAACTAATAGTGCAACGTCTAAGAGAAAGAAGTTTTAATTAAATTGCAAAGCCCATGAGTATTCATTCGAGCCGATGAGTGACTATTTTAATACTGAAAACTCTAGGTTTAAGGGAGAATAGCAATTTTCATACTGAAATTTTCTTAGAGACCGAATAGGAAATTTGTTTTGCTTTCACCTCACAGTCCAGCAGAACAGTTGCTCATGAACTTGATCTGTTAAATAATTCAATTCTTATGAATTTATGGGAATTGCAGTGTAGAATTCCTCCCTTTTATTCTATTAAACTAAATGTTGAGAAACCTAGTGAACAGCTAAGCGAATAATCACTCAAGTCCAAGAACAGAAACACAAACTCAGAAAGGGTTAATTACCCTTTACTTGCTTTAAATAAAGGTTAACAGATGGCCCCTTTCTCAGGGCACACAATAAAGCCTTCACTTGGGCTTAAATTTAGAATGTAAGAGATAAGAACTAACTAAAGAGATTTAGCTGAAGCTAATGCAATTCTACACTAGTTGGCCCTTAATATTAACTTAGCCAGCGAAGCTATCAAGAGGCACATAATAAGGCTGAGCATAGTAACAGTTAGAGAGACGTAGCCAAAAGTCTAATGTGTACTATTCAGGAATCCTAACCCTCTCTCTTGAAATCTGTGGAACTTTGACTAAAATACTTTCTAGTGCTCATTTGCATTTAATGCGATTCTAAAAACTCATTCTGGTAAGGAATTGTTAGCTGAAACTAGAAGAGACAGGAAAAGTGCTGTAACTTAAAATAACTTATAAAATTAGGATATACTTTACTGCAGAAGTAAACTTAATTCAAAGTTGTGAAAATGAAATTGATTTTTTCACCATTTTTTCAATAATCTAATGAACATAATAGTTGAAGAAACTAATAATTTCTTTGAATAAAAGATGAGTGAGAATCCATCTTCATCCAAAATCAACATACTCCTCTATATGTGCTTTAACCTTTTGAGGCCGGGGCTTTGGTAACAGTAAAAGCTACCAAAGGACAGGGAATCTTGAACCGAATGCTTTCCCCCCTTTAAGAAATCACCTCCTATTTGCAACAAAGATTCTTGTGTGTAGTTTAATGGATTCTCAGAGGGGTGCATCTATGTCGCAAAAGGAAGACCTTTGAAAGAGATAAGTGGTTAAAACCCTAGGGACATCAAATTTGACATTTCACCCCACTTTTCAGTTTGAAAAATGGGGGAAAAAAGACTTAACCACTAAAGTGGACAATCCCGTCTTTTCAAAGAGAGGACTGTATGGCCACTATAATGGCCATTCCATGTTCAAAAAGTTTAAATGAATTCCTAGGATTAATTTTTCTGCTGGAAGGGAATATTTAAAAAGTTCAACCTGAAAATGTGTTTCGTAACTAATGAAATGATAGTGATTAAATTATTACACACTGTCTTCCTTCTGAATCATTTATGCTATAATATTTGATCACGTTTTATTATTTTTTATGTACAACATTTCATCAAGATGAGTCGAATATTTTATTTTGCATTTAAATTTTAATTAAAAATTTTTCATAATCTCCTGATATTCTGTATTTATGATTATAGTATTAGATACCATGACAGAAAAATCAAAACAATTGATAGAAAATATTTTTCATTAATTTTTTATAAAACGTTAGGCTTAGCAAATGAAATATCCAGTCTTGTTACTGCAACATGCCGTCCAGTCACTTACTGCAACACGCCATCTCCAAGGTGAGTTGTGCCAAGTGGCTTGCCATCTCGTAAGAGGATTAACTGCTGATGCATGTATGATATACTCATCCTGAAAGGATTAAGTTATTTAATTTGTTTATGCTTTATAGGGCTTTGAGGAAAAAAGTGTTTATGTACACTTAAAATATTATATTGTTAAAGCGATCATCTTGCTCAGTCTCCAGAACTGAGCAATGGTCCCCGCTAGATGAGACTTTTCTGAGAAGCAAGATTCTGGTAGCATTGATTAAAACAGGAGGATTCCTAGAAAAAACAACTCCGCTGGAAGCGAAGTCCCATTTAGCTATGGAAACGATATCCCAGCTACGTGGGATATTTTGAAACTTCGCTGCAAATGTTCCGTCTGCAACTTTGTCCTATGTAGAGATCAACCAATCAGATGAAAGCTCTGCTTCTGAAGGATCACGTGATCCCAATTTCAGTGATTACCAATTACTGTTTGGTGTTCAAGTCTGTTTATTAATTAAAAATGGTAACCAAGTTATGTAGGTTTCGTGGAAATGTGCGGTTTCTGAGAAATGTCCCTTTCAACGTCCAGTCCTGCATAGCGAAAGCATATGTGATAGGGACTTTAGAAAACCAAAGCCTTTGCTAACCTGCATGCTTAAAATAGTCAAAATTCGTGTCGTCGTCCATTACCTGTCCCAACCGTTTCCTTCCCTCCCCATCCATTAACGCACAAAGAGGTCTGAAGATTTCATATGACAGCCTTTCTGCTTTGTAACAAAGAAGCTTATATGAATTTCTTAGGACAGGTTGTCTGCAATAAACAGATACAATGTATTTATGGAAAGTGCACCTGCTACTGCATACCTTAAGTTCTAATCACATTATGTTTCGGCTACGCGGGACTGGACGTCGAAAGGGACAATTCTCAGGACCCGCACATTTGCAGGAAGCCCATGTAGCTAGGTTACTATTTTCACTTATTACAAAGATTTGAACGCCGAATAGTAATGAATTATCACTCAGATTGGGATCACATGATCCTTCAGAAGCAGAACTTTTGTCTGATTGACTCTATCCGGGACAGAGCTCCAGCCGAGACATTTTCGGTGAGGTTTGAAAAAAATCCTGCAAAGCTGCTAAATGGTTTTATAGCTAGGCATGTCTTTATTTCTAACAGGCTCATTTTCTAGGAATCCTCCCATTTAAACTAGTGCTACCAGAATCTTGTTTCTCAGAAAATTCCCGTTTAGCAGGGACTGTCGATAGAAGTGATAACCCCATTAGGGGAAGGGAAGAAAACAACATCACAGTCTCGGTCATTTTGGGTGCTTGTTTGAATGAAAGGCTATCTCGGGATTTATGGCTTGAAAGGTTTAATTGCTTTGTTTTTAATACATTTACTGCTAAAGTTGATATCACATTCCAAGATTCTATCTGCATTTTTATGCTAATAAAATATTTTTTTATTATTTAAATATAGATATTACAGATTACTTTTGGCAGCAAAAAAATTTGTTTGAATGTTCTCATAATTTGTATAGACAATATTTTTGCTCCCTGTGCAACTACGAGATAACTTAGAACTAGATGAACAATACTCGCACTTTCTGTGCACTCATGCAGAATTATGGCACGTGTGATGCATTATTTTACATTAGTCTTACATAAGTCATTGAATAAGAATTTGAGTAATTCATTTATAATATTTCCCAAGTAAATAAGCAAATTTGAAAAAAAAGTTTTACATTCTAAACATATTTATTATATCTACATTTTGAGAAATAAATTATCTCTTTCAGTATCCTGAGCATATTATTTAGTTCATTCCTGTACACAAACCCCTAAACATTACATGCATTTGCTATGGCAATACTTGAATTCAGTGATTTATGTAAGCGATCAATAACGAGTTATCTCATAGCTGGCAAATTAGCCACTGCAAGTATTTTCATAGATTGCAGTGAATGTGTTAATGTGCAGCATGTTTTATTTTTAGGCAGTTTGATTATGAAGTTGTCCAAGTGATATCAGTTTTTTCCTTCTAAAATGTATTCTCTAACTTATAATCTATCGAAAAAGAAGTAATTTTTTTTTCTGTCATTTTCACACATAGAAGTAATCATTTGCATGCTCACTTTAGACGGCATGATATCATTTTGGAAACACACTGATGAAAAGTTACCAAAACCAATTTTTGGCAAGTAAACCCCATTTTTACAGACTTGTTAAGCTTAATAGTTCGAAATGTGAGCAAAAAACTTAAATAATTAAAGTAATTCAAAAACTGAATTATTTGAAAAAGGGAAAACAGATTAAAAAAGATTGGGATAAAAGTACTTTCTTATAGCAACAACCAAGATTGAATCGCCAATCAACTGAGATATCTCGCCAAAAGCTCGCTGCGTGTTCTTATACCTCGCCACGTGATCATATGTTAGCAACAGCTATGTGTTCTGATACATCATTGCATAATCATATTGTTACAGGTTTTGTATTTATTTAGATATTTTTAGTAGAATTTGTAATTAAAATTGTTTTATATCCCCGTGCAATGCTGAACGCGACGCGTTTTAAGAGAAAGGTACGCAGAAAAAGTAAAAATACAGGAGCACACACATTTAACATTTAATAAATAGATATCTCGTAGTTGTAATCTTTTGCTTTCTAGAAACCCCGAAAAGATAAAAATTACCAGAGTGTTCTCATGCATGATTAAAAAGTTTTAAAATTATTTTTAAAAAATCTGGACAGAAACGGCTCAGTTTAGTTGTTTACTTAGTTCTTGTTGTAGATTGTAGCAAATTCAGCTTGCCTGCAGTCCTTGGGAAAGGGGCAGTGTTATGGATTTTGCATTTAGTTGGCGTGGGATATTTTGAAACTTCGCTGCAAATGTTCCGTCTGCAACTTTGTCCTATGTAGAGATCAACCAATCAGATGAAAGCTCTGCTTCTGAAGGATCACGTGATCCCAATTTCAGTGATTACCAATTACTGTTTGGTGTTCAAGTCTGTTTATTAATTAAAAATGGTAACCAAGTTATGTAGGTTTCGTGGAAATGTGCGGTTTCTGAGAAATGTCCCTTTCAACGTCCAGTCCTGCATAGCGAAAGCATATGTGATAGGGACTTTAGAAAACCAAAGCCTTTGCTAACCTGCATGCTTAAAATAGTCAAAATTCGTGTCGTCGTCCATTACCTGTCCCAACCATTTCCTTCCCTCCCCATCCATTAACGCACAAAGAGGTCTGAAGATTTCATATGACAGCCTTTCTGCTTTGTAACAAAGAAGCTTATATGAATTTCTTAGGACAGGTTGTCTGCAATAAACAGATACAATGTATTTATGGAAAGTGCACCTGCTACTGCATACCTTAAGTTATACTGAATTGGCCACCACCGTTTTTTGACACGAACTCTTATTCTGTAATTGGCTACTGAATTGTCACATAAATCGACTCCACCCATTTTGGCATTGTATTGTTCAATAAGATGAGGCTGAGATATAAAAACCTTTTTCCTTTGCGATTTTGAATAATGGAAAACATTTTTTATGGGCTGAATGTTTTACAAATGTTGAACCAACAGTTACAACCGAATTGTCGTTCCATTGGACAAAAATTCATTTTTCTCTTCGTACTGGAAATCATAACAACCCCTATCTTTCTTACGGACACATTTCACACTTTCTAGTGGGCACATTTGTATGCGGTTTTCCTGAATTGTTTCTGTAGCACTGAAACCTTTTTTTTTTTTTTTTTTTTTTTTTTTTTTTTTAGATGACAGAGATGCTGAAATGATGTAAAAAATTTTTAGTAGAATTATAATTAACCCATTAAACGCCAAAACTACAGGGAATGATTCTTTTCTCATGAAAATAATAACAAGTATTAAATTAAGCATTTATAACATAAATTTACATTGAAAATTAAAAAAAAAAAAATGCTTTTACCTGTGGAAAAAGCGAGTGTTGTGTTCGTGCAACGTCATTGGAATAAGACTATGGATGTTTAGTGAGTAGGACTGTACTCGTGCGATGTTTCCTTTGAGTGGAGCATTTGATTACTTTTTAGCTATGTAACATTTTATAAATCATAACAACCCCTATCTTTCTTACGGACACATTTCACACTTTCTAGTGGGCACATTTGTATGCGGTTTTCCTGAATTGTTTCTGTAGCACTGAAACCTTTTTTTTTTTTTTTTTTTTTTTTTTTTTTTTTAGATGACAGAGAAGCTGAAATGATGTAAAAAATTTTTAGTAGAATTATAATTAACCCATTAAACGCCAAAACTACAGGGAATGATTCTTTTCTCATGAAAATAATAACAAGTATTAAATTAAGCATTTATAACATAAATTTACATTGAAAATAAAAAAAAAAAAAATGCTTTTACCTGTGGAAAAAGCGAGTGTTGTGTTCGTGCAACGTCATTGGAATAAGACTATGGATGTTTAGTGAGTAGGACTGTACTCGTGCGATGTTTCCTTTGAGTGGAGCATTTGATTACTTTTTAGCTATGTAACATTTTATAAATCATAACAACCCCTATCTTTCTTACGGACACATTTCACACTTTCTAGTGGGCACATTTGTATGCGGTTTTCCTAAATTGTTTCTGTAGCACTGAAACCTCTTTTTTTTTTTTTTTTTTAGATGACAGAGAAGCTGAAATGATGTAAAAAAAGTTATCAAAATAAATAGTATGATTGGCAGGAGTTTAAACAAAACTGATCAAATATATCACCACACTTCCTCCAAGCCCAAATTCTTCATATTCTTTTAATTTTAGAGCTGTCACCTTACCTGCATAAATATCAAAATGAAACACATATCTATCAGATGATGCCAGAGTCCATGCTTTGTATCCAAATCTTATAGGTTTCCCTTTTAAAAACATCTTTGTTGAATGTTTGCCTCGATAAGGAACCATTTGCTCGTCAATACTCAGATCATGGGAGAATATACCAAATTGTTGGAATTTCTTATTTAGTAAGTTTACATACGGTCTCACCTTATGTAATTTATCAGTATTGTTAATTTGATTATTGGCAGCTAAATGCAAATTCTGCTTCATATTCCAATTGCAAACATGGCATGGATTCTCGTACAGCAGGAAAGAAATGTCCTTATCAAGAGACCAATACATTTCTCCTTGAGGTAAAGAATGATATCCCATAAACAATAATATTCCAATAAATCTTCTCATATAGGCTTCATATGCAATAAATTCTGAGCGATTATTTTTTGCTGAGCTTATATATTTGTCTGTTCAATGAGAAGAGAGTAAATGTCTGAAGCAAAAAGAAAATCGAAAATCTCTCCACTAGTTTTACCTTATATTTTGTCTTTTATAGTTTCTCTTCTATCTCTTTTTCATTTTCTTCCTGAGATATAACTGACGGTTCCTTTTTTTTTTTTATCCATTTTGAGTTTTCAGCTTTCTGCTTTTTAAACTTTATCTTATGACTACCACTGCTTTTAGAAGTCTGAAATTTACTTCTTACATGAATTTCAATTTCCCCAGCAGTATCATTTGGTAAAATATCATTATTTAAAACATTGTCATTCCCTTCTTCATCACTAGCTTCTGCAATTTCTGGGGACAACAACAAAATCAGTTTCATTCTGGTCATTATTAACATTATTATCATCTGTTTCTTCATCAAAAATTCTTTGAAGGTCTTCTAATGTAAGATACCTCATTGTAGGCATTTTTAAAGCAGCCAGAACATGAACCAGAACATCAAAAGAAATGAGTAAAAAAGGAGATTACCCCATACATTGCATCAGCGCAACACCTGTTCCCAATACAAATATAAACATCTGATTGATGTAATGTTCTGATAAACAGTGACCTTGATTAAAAATAGATCACCCATAAAGACGGTGATTATTTTTGTTAAATATTTTCAGCAAAAATACCGGTCGGATATTTTGCTTAAAGTATGAGATTAATTATTATAAATAAAATTATTGTTGAAGGCAAATATTTTTTACAGAAATAATCTTCATAATATTCCCTACATAAAATCTGCTGGTATAAAATATCTTAGGTAGTTGTATTTATACTAGAATGCATGACCGCTGTTGTAGATATTATAAATTGTAATTAAAACGATTTGTGCAAAGGTGTCTGCTAATTTAAACTGAATTACCCAGGGCAGGCGGCGAGGACACCCCTTTGCTTACTGTCCCACGGGGTTTCCCCCTTTTCTTGCTTAATTGCTTAAAGTAGAGTACAATGAAGGAAACCACTGGCGGTATATTTCTTAAAGAGTCCACCGCTAGCTCAATCAATAAAGGTGATTTAAATAATGAAATGTTAATTCACACGGCAAAGATCTCTTTGTACACAACATTTCTTGTGTAGATCTTTCCATCATTTTTAAGCTCGCCTTGCAGAAGGACCAACCAATATTTTTAATTTTACGTCCGTTCTTTCACGAACTCTTGAACAGGCAACATAAAGTTGACCGTGTCCAAATGCAGGCTCAGGTAAAAAAATGCCAACACGCTTAAGCGTTTGGCCCTGAGACTTATGGATGGTCATAGCAAAGGCAAGTTTTACAGGAAGTTGTCTACGTCTCAATTGAAACGGCAAACCTGTGCCGTGGCAACTTTAGCCCATTGGCTAGTACAGTTATGCAAGCAACCAATAAACTATCGGCGACAAACAGATACTTAAGCCAAATATATATATATATATATGTAAGATAAAAATGTATGAATCAGAATTATAATATAACTATAAGCATTAATTCTTCCTCTCTATTCTAAAATTGTAATAACTTATCTGCATTGCGTCATTCAGATTAATCATGCGATCTTACTTAACCCATAATGCAGATCCCTCTTGACCAATCACCAAATTGCAAACCGAAACTTTTCTCCTCGCGTGCCCCCATCTTGCATAACTACGTACTTCAGCTTTTGCTCGCTACCGTGCTAAGATGTGATTTCGCTGGCTTGCTTTCTATCCCAACAATATCAAAAATGTAAATCTTCTGTGGAAAGGCACGACTAGAGTGCCAAGTGATTGTGCCACAAATATCAATTGGAAATAAAAATGGAATTAAAAACTGCCTCGACTGCCAAGTTCTTTAAATACTACGCAATCAAAATTCTTCTTCAATATGGGTCTAATCACGCATCTACAGTGTTCCGTCTTTTCCTTGTGCTTTTATTATTACATATATATATATATGGGGTGAAGTAACATCATCTCCTCCAAAATGGCTGGCTCCCGGGCTTAGCAAAGCACACCGTTGGATTCTGCAGGTCCGTGGCGTGCCATTTTGACCATTCGCGTCTTCTTGGAACTTTAATTAGCCGAGATGTTAACTAAAAACTAATTTTTCCTACATTTTCCACTTCCTTTCTTGGGTTTTCCCTATTAGAGGGATTTGGCTAAGTGCCAAATTCTTTTTTCTCGAATATCTACGGAACGGTTCCAAGTTCAAATTCGAGACGCGTATCCTCGGATTAAAAAAATTCTCCAAATCTATCAATACCGTTCTCATATTCGTACGTCTTTAATCGGTTGAGATATTAACTAAAAACTGCGGAAATGTTAATTTCCGTGCTTGTTTCCGAGTGGCAACAATAACTATCGGCCCACACACTTTAGCCCTTATATATAAAGATATCATTTTTTGATTCGTCAATCACACCAGCGGCTAATGGGTTAAAATTGTTTTATATCTGCCTGCAATGCGGCATGAGACATATTTTAAGAGAAAGCTATGCTAGAAAAGTAAAAATACAGGGCACACGTATTTACTAAATAGATATCTCGTAATTTATATTCAAACTGGATAAATGTAATTGACTTCTGTGTCAGCTGTAATCATAGATCTCTTTTTTGCTTTCCAGAAATTGCTAGAACTGTCTCGCATGACCGATTAAAAAAGCTTTGAAAGCTGGAGAGAAACATCTCACTTCAGTTGTTTACCTAGCTGCATTAATTTTGAGATCGGATTAGCTTTCTCTGCTTTGAATTGTGTTCTGTTTAATGTTTTAGTAGTTTGGAATGTAACTACTGTGAGATATTGTGATATTGTATGAATATCTCTAAGGAAATTTCAGCATTCTGTTTTATTTCTTGTGATAAGAATAAATCTGTTAACTTTTTATCAGACTTGTGCATTCAATTTATTACAAACCTGTACGCATGCAACACTTTTTGATGTCAGGAGTGGGGTTTCAATGCCAATCACAAGAGTAATGGCAGAACAAATGAGGCAGTTGATGACTGCATTTGCTGCATACCAAGAAAAGATGGAATTGGCAATCAACTCAGTTAAAGCAAAGATGAAAGCTAGCCAAGAATCTGTTAAAGAAGAAATGGAAGCTGTGAAAGAAAGGTGGAATGGGTCAAGAATCTGTTAAGGAACAGATGACAGCTTAAAGATGAGAGGAAATCAGGTCGAGAAAAGATGGAAGCTAGTCAAGAATCAGTTAATGAAAAGATGAAAGCATTTAAAGAATGAAAGTGGGCCTAGAGGAAATGAAAAGAGAAGTCATCTGCATAATAGAAAACAAATTTGAAGCTATGGAAGACTGAATTTACATGGTTGAAAATGAAGTTTGACAAATTGAAGAAAGTGTTTCTTCTGTGAAAGAACAAATAGAAGGAAGAGTTTCTGCTGTCCAACAACAAATTGATGACAGGGTTTCAGCAGTTGCGAAAGAAGTTGATACTTTGAAAAAATTCGTAGCGATGGCAGGGAGCAAATACAGATGGTTTTAAATTTTTAGTCATGCCTGCTCGTCTCTCCCTGAAGCCATCCACATATGATGGGAAGACTTCTTGGCAAGTATATAAAACGCTATTTTCTATAGTCGCAGATTGGAATGGGTGGGATTCCCAAGCTAAGTCCTGTCATCTCACTGCTTCTTTGAGAGCAGATCTGCTCTCAAAACGGATATTCTTCAGACTCTTCCAGAAAGCCAGAGACTAGGCTTTGAAGCTCTATCTGGCGCATAGGAGCTGCGCTTTGGCGAAAAACGTGTAAAAGATTGCAGGAGGCTTCATTTAAAATCTTGTCAACAGAAGCCCACGGAAACAAGCCAGGAACTCCCCACGGATGTTGAAAGGCTGTACCATCTCGCCTTTTCTGAGTGCCCGACAGAAACAAGGGAAATCCTGTCCCTGGAATACTTCATCGACAGCATCCGGAATCCTGAAGTACAAAAAGTTTTACGAATGGCGGATGTCCAATTTAAAAAAGCGCACTAGTTTTGACATGAAATTTGAGAGAGCCCAGCAAGCAACTCGTAGAGGCTGTAACCTAGGGCTACGTACGAAGAAGCTGCAGAACACCCCAGGGTTAAAACAGATGTTAAGACCTCTTCTAGCAAGAAGGAGGGAAACTAATTAGTGGCCATCTCATGAGGCGGAGGTTGCCAGATAATGAGAAGCCCCATTTTAAAGCACTTCAGATTTCTGCAGTGAGTGGCGGCAGTAACGGACTGTTCATCATGGGACATATCAGTGGAGTTTCCTGCAATATAACTATTGATACAGGAACCAATGTTACCATCATCAAGAAAGGTTTGGCTTAACAAATGGAAGGTAAACTTATCTGGATGCCACCCTGCATTATCCTCCAGACTGTGTCCGGCGAGAAGATCGTCATCGACGGAAAATTAAACATTAACATCACGTTTGGAAGTGCCACTTATCACCACACAGCATATGTGGCAGATATTACAGATCCTTGCATACTCAGATTGGGCTTTCTAAGGAAATACAATTTTTTTTGGGGACTTTAAAAATAACGAACCGAATTCTGCCTCTGAGGACATAACCTTATTTGGAATTACTGATGAAGGATCAAAATCTGTCTACAAAATCATAGCTCAAGATGATACCATTAGACTAGCGAGAACAGAGTTTTTACTTCTTGGATCCATAGCTGAAAATAGAAATTTCCGCATGGCATCATAGAATATCCCAAGAACTATAACAGCTTGAAAGGAGTACTAGTAGCCTCAGCATTTGTTGACCTGTTGCGAATTGTTATTCCGGTGAGAGTTGCCAACGTAACTGAAAAAGCAAAAAAGAAAGGTGTTGTTAAGAAAGTTGAAGGGGCTTCAGAATGTTAAAATGACCAGTGTTAAACGAAATAGTGACACTCCAGAATTCATGCCTTCAGAGAGCATTACGTCTTACATTTTGCAGAATGCGAATTTAAATGGTGAAGAGAGGAATGCTGCTGAACATGTCATTCAAGAATTTCAAGATGTTTTCTCCCGCTCGTCTTCTGACGTGTGTTGAACTAGTTTGACACATCATAGAATTGATACCGGAGACCACCCACCAATTAAGCAATGTCTAAGATGTCTACCGATAGCCAAACAGGAATAACCTTCTTTTACTAAATCGTGTACTTCATAGTCTCAGAGTTTTTAAAAAGCTGACTTGCTAATTTTTCATCATGCCTCTGCAGAGTCCCCTAGCCCTTCAGTGATCCATTGACTGTGCCATTTTCAGTGCTCTTTAACTAACACTCGAACCATTTTCATAGTAATTTATTATTCCATTTTTTAGAAAATATGTGTGCATTAAGTGTATGCTATAGAAATTTGAGCAAAAGAAAAGCTTTGTTATGTAATTGCGAAAATCGTATAAACAAGAGGTGTGATGGGAGGTGCAGTAAGACTCTCCTGGCAGACTTTACGTTGCCCTACGGTCTTTTTATGGGCTTCACCATAAACTAGAGGTGTATAGCTAGAAAAGAGGTGAGATTTTTGTAATGATATTCAGGCGTCAGAAGACCCAATGACATTAAAAAAAATCTTTGACCCCCCCCCCAAATTCCTATTCCTGTATTAATTTTGAAAGAAATTGTAAAAAATTAAAGATTTCATCAGAAAATTCAACAGTGACTGTAGAATGTATTCAATAAGACAATATGGAATTCAGCATGGGAAATTTGTAATTTTGGAATTATTTTAAGTAGTTTGAAGAAGTGTTAGTTTTTGATTTAAGCATTAGTAGTGAGTTAATGAAAACAGTACTGCTCCGTTCAAAACATTTTATGCCATTAGCTTATGTTTAGCATATTTTAGGCATTAGGTTTAGGCATAATATATTTTAGGTAAAAGGCATGGAGTCTTATTCAGAGGTTTTTTCCCTGCCCCTAAAGGTATTATTAAACATTTTCCAGTTGCAAACTATTGTGACTTCATCATAAAGTTATTCATTTGCCCTCATATAGTCTCAATTAATTGAGTCATATAATCTCAGTTGATCTGACTAATTTATGGGTTAATATGATATGAAATGAAAATTTATTTAGTTGGAGAAAATGGATAGAAATTGGTTACTTAAATGTATGAAGTCTGAATCAAATGGTGGGTGGAATAAAGTTCATAATAACTAAATATGAATGTACTATTATATTGTTGCATACATACAGGTTCATAATAAATTGAATGTATGAGTCCGATGAAAAGTGAATAACATCTATTCTTATCACAACAAATAAAACAAAATGCTGAAATTTCCTCAGAGGTATTTGTACAATATCGCAATATCTCAGAGTAGTTATATTTTAAACTACTAAAACGTTGAATAGAACTCAATTCAAAACACTGATAAAGCTAATCCGATCTCACTGCAAATTCACTACAATTAATAACAACACTAAGTAAACAACTGAATTGAGATGTTTTCCTCCAGATTTTATAAGCTTTTTAAATCATGCACGAGAACATTCTGGTTATTTTCTCAATTTTTCTGGATAACAAAAGAGTACAATTACGAGATGTCTATTTATTAAATGTTAAATGTGCGTGCTCCTGTATTTTTACTTTTTCGGCACAGCTTTCTCTTAAAACTTTAATAACAATTCTACTAAAAATAGCAAACTAAGTACAAAAACCATAACAATATGAAAATATATATTATTTGTTACTTAAATTACCCACTATGTATTAATTCATGATTTGTTATATTGGCCATTAAAAATATTTTATCCTTTAATTCGGTAATTTAATGTGTAAAATTAAAACAGCATTTTAGATTGAGCCTTTAATGTAAAAGGAAAATATGATGAACTTTTTTTTTAAATCAGCTAATGTTTTTTTTTAAATCATAGTAAATCCTCTTTAAAAAAGTGGCAGGTTTTCTATTTGTCCCAAATAAAATTCAGCAACCTTGAATATGTTAGTCACTGACTTGTAAATAATACATTTAGATTATGCATCCTTTTTCTTCCATTTTCTTCGTATCTTTAGATAGGACTATGTTTAAAATGTATTATAAACTTTTTTTTTTTTATCCTAACTATCTGAATTCTAAATTTCAAACTAATTGAATTAACTAATTCTAAATTTCCGCAGTACAAAGATTTTCCTTTGGAATTTGCTGTTTGAAAACTACTTTCCTTTTCCACTTTACTTAAAAAACAAGAAAATCCTTTTCTTGGTTTCTCTAAAAGATTTTCCCCAACAAATTCCATCCTTTTGCTACTGCACATTGTTAGACAAGAGCAATTAAAAATACGATTAGGGTAAAGAATTTGTGCCTTATCGGGTAACAACATTTTTCTTTTAACATGTTGTTTTTCAAACATTTTATTTGCATCCTGTCTCTTATCTGGCTGCAGTCAGCCAATCAGCTGCCTACCTTGCATTAAGAATATAGCAAGTGAGACAGACGAGAGTTGTCTGCATAAAGTGTGGTAGGGCGTTTACGCCTGAGTTGTAATTTCAAGTTAAGCCAGCATGGCTGATTTAATTTGTAAGGTATTGAACACCTGTGTTTCATTGGAGTTATTTTCTTAAATCGTATAATATCAATCTCATGTAAATATTTATACATAAAAGTCATGCTTCTAGGTTAAAATTCCAGTGATGTATTCTGTCACGTCTCTGCCATCCCGACAATTATGACACATCCTATATATATATATTATGAAAAGAATAGGAAGTAGTCGGAGCTTAAATGCAAGTTTACAGTTTCTTTCCTATGAAGGTCCTAACCATTTTGTTTCTCAAAGATAGTCGTACCCAAAGATAGTACAAGTAAAAATTACAAATATTGATATAATACTGAAAGCAATACACAATAAAAATGAAATATTGATCTCCTCCTTCAAACAGAACTAATCAAGGGAAAAGTGTTTTGATGCCCTAAGCCAAGTTGATCAATGAGTTCCCAATACATGTTTTAGTCTGAGACATTTGAGATTCAGGACAGTTATTTTCGAAATAAATTTTCAATTTTAATTAACTTTCAGTGGCTCTCAAATGTTCAGACCTTTTCCCTACATGCATTTGCCAAACTTAAGACAGCAAAATTACAATACTCAAGAAGAAACACACACACACAAGAACCTGACAAACTAAAAATGTGTAAAAAGCCTAACGCCAAACTAACTAATTACAGTCATATACAACTAGGAGAAACTCTGATCAAACCAAGCAACAAATTATAATGAACAGTGTTTAAAACTTAAAAAAGGGGTGGATCGAATGCATATTAAATTAGCTTTTATCTGAATTTAAAAAAATGGATAAACTTTGAAACAAAAAGCCACTGAGTATATACATACATTTACTAATGGATTATTGAGTATATTATCTCCTTTGAGAAAGTTAGTAGAATTTAGTTGAATGAAGTATCTTATAAAGCATTTAAAAATGAACCTTGAAAAAAAATTTTTTTAAAGAAACATCAAATATGAATTGTGAAAAAAACTGAAAATGGAAACATTTAAACAATGGAAAAGTAATCAATAAACCAAGTAATTATTGTCAATATTTTAATGTATGCTGAATGTTTTTCATTATCTTTTTAGTTTATTTCACTTCCTGCTGGTAGAATGAGGGACAAAGACAATCATGAAGAGGAGCAAAATTTTAATGCACTGAAGGACAGTGCTTGTAAAGTAAAAGCTCTTGAAGAAGAAAATATCCTTTTAAATATTTTAATTACTTTATGTGTTACAACTATAAACATAAAATTTAGTCAGAATTTTTTTTTGATTTTCAGTTGTGGATTAATATTTATTAATGTGTCTATTTAAACTTTTTTATATCTGTCATTTTGTATATCAAAACCCATCAGTTCCCTTTGGGTCCAATTAACTGTCTTTATATCATTATAAAGTATTATGGACAAGCAGCATTTATTTTAGTCATGGGACGTTAAAAATTTTGCAAATCCTGAAAATTATTTAAGATTAAAAACTTTGAATCTTTCAAATCCCAGCCCTGAAAACTGCTAAGCACTTTAATTCAAAATTTTGGGAAGATTAGTTTTATTGCCACTCACTGGAAGTGCTCATAAAAAAGAACAAAATTGCTGCAATATCAGTGAATTTGGGTCACTAGTTTAACTTCATGGTAAACCCAAGAGCTAACCAGTGTGTAAACAATAAAGTTGCTGCATGTTAGCAGTTTGGATCAAATCCCAGTGAACGGGCTGGCAGCATGGCCATTTTCATGGTTTTCCCATGTGTCTTTCATGAAGGCTACCCCCTTCTGTTCAATGAATAATCCTTGAAATAGACTTCTATATTTGTTTTGGCTTGAAAAGAACCTAAAAAATTTATGAAAAAAATAAAGGAACTATTACTTAAATATTTTTTGCATATTCATTTATTAATTTGCAAAATTATGTTGACAAAATGAGCTGTAACAGTTTCCAGTGGTTAATCATGAGAAGGCACAGCTTTCTAATTTTGTCTTTATTCTTTATCTCCCCCTTGGCATTGTATTTTTTTGATACAGGTGTGTAGCAGCAGTGACAGAGAAAAAGATCAATGTTTTGGTGTAAGCTAATGGATTGTAAATAGTGTAAATAGAATCTGTGATAAATAAAATGACAAAAGAGCTCCAATTATCCTGTGGTTTAATAAAGGAAAGGTCTAGATTAAAAGAATGTAAGCAAAATTTCTTCTCAACTAAAAAAAAAAAAAAAAAAAAAAAAAAAAAGGGAATAATAAGAATTTAAGCTTATTTTTAGGTGATGAAGGTATAATTAAGTATATAGGACAAATAAGAGTTTGCAAAATGGCACTGAAGGTCCCACGATTACCAGTAACCTTTAGATTGATGATGTCTACATATTTATTATTGTTCAATCAGTGATTAAATATTGATTATTAAAATGGCTAAGAAAAAAGCACTAAAAAGAAGCTTGGGATGATAAGAGCACCAATTATGAGACTCACTGCTAAACTGGAAAGGAAAGTGAAATTGGATAATATTAAATTTCATTTCCTAGAAGATACTTGCCTATTTTTAAATGAAAATAATATTATTAAAATAAATGCTGAAATTTAATCTGCCATTACAGATGAAAAAGAGTATGAAATAGAAATAGTGATATATTTATTTTCTATATCTTTTACCTTTTTATCATGAAACTGTTAACTTTAATAGAAGTTTAATTCAGAGATTGAGATCACAGATTTCAAGAATGACTGGAGAAGTTTTGAACAGTGCATCTGTAGTGAAAGTTCTCTTTAAGAATGAAATGATTTTGAAGTAAGTTCTTTTTTAAACTTGCATATCTTTGTATACATATAAAGACATAAAGTAAGAAGTTTAGAACTAAAGTTTCACAAAGACTAAAAATTGAAATTCATAATTAATAAATTGTAAATGATTCTATAAATGCAATAAAGAATTAAAAAATGTTAAAACTAAATCTTTTCAAACAAACAATACTCCAATTAAAAAAAATAATGAAATTTAAAGAAAAGCAAACATAATATAAGAGGAGTTCCATCAACTTCAGTGCCACATCATCAGGAGGAGGAACATTTAAATCAATTGAAATCGTTTTTCCACTAAAATCCTTGCTTTTCTGTATCTAGAATTAACAGAGTGAACCATTTCAGTTATTTTAATTATAATAGTTCACCCGAAAATTCTGACCGCTCCCCAAAGCAAGGAAAAAACAAATTCTAATTAGAATCATCATGTACCTTAAATAAAGAGAATTCTATTTAAAGAATTGAAACCGTAAGTGAAATAATAAAAAAAGACTTCAGTGAAGAATTCAAATCAAAATTTTACCTTTAAACAAATAGCATATAATCCAAAGAATTTAAAATGAAAGTGAAATTATAAAATTTTAGTGAGAAGACTTAATTAAAACTCACAAGAAGTAATTAAAAACTTCAAGCGCAAAATTGCTTGGAAATACAGGTGTAGTTGTTTTGGGGATGTTTCAATACATAATTTTTAAGAATAGGAAAAAATAAGAATAATCCCAAGTCCAGATAGAACGTGACAAAATTTAAAGTGACACATTTTTTATGATTTGTTACTTTTAAATACTCGTAAAATGGAGTAATGACTACACTATTTTATTGTACTAATTGTAGTAAACAGTTTCAGTTGATATTCATTCTTTAATTAGAAAAAGCTTGTACTTCCAGATGACCGTGTACTCGCGGTCATCTGGGTTAAGCAGCCGCTTAAGCCGCCTCTGCTGAGACTCCAAGTATGGGGAAGAGTGTCTCTCTAGGACAGGCTTCAGCCATCTTATAACCCATGGGTCACTGCGTGACCCATTTCATAATTTCAAAGTTACCCTTTTGAGTTCTAAAATTAAAGTATAATAAATATAAATAAACAAAGTTTCAGTAACGTACACAGACTTTATTTTTAAAAAATAAAAAATGTAACATAATTTCAAGGAGAAATCAGTAAGTTTGGTAATATTGATATATAATCCATAATTAAAAAAAATGACTGCCATTTTGTCTGCATCATAAATGTGAGCAAATATTTTCACACTGGAAATTTATTTAAAGAACAGAAGCAACTTAACTAACAAAAATTCAGAAATCAGACTTGACTAAATAGACATTGCAAATTCAGCATTATGGTAGCCATTGATACTGAAGTAAAAAATATAGTTAATTTAGTTATATTTGTTTTTATAATAATTAAAATTAGAATTTTAAGTTTTTATGTTTAAATCATATTGGAATTGTTTTCTCGGTGAAATTTATCTTATTATTCATCAAGAAAGAATGTTCTATATGAAAATACCAGTGACTTAAACATCTTAAGGCACATTTTGGATGATTTTAGTGTGCAGGAGAGCATCCATTACTTTGACAAATAATGATCATGTGAATGTGATTATTCGCCAGAATAGGTGCATCACTAGCAAATAACTTTTGTCATTTTTTTCAGTTAGTGTTGGTAGTGTAGGGAAAAAAAAAAAAAAAAACACTTGGAGTGATGTGGCATGACATGTTCCCAGTGGATTCCTTACACATTAACAGATGAGAACAAAATCTTGCGCATGAAAACTACCAGTTTTCTCCTCTGGCAGTTTGAAGATGAAGAGAACAACACTCTTTGGAATTCCGTAGTGACTGTCAATGAAACGGGAATCCACTACTTCATTTCCAAGTCCAGGCTTAAATCCTAGTTGAAAGGCATGCAGTTTACGTATAATGTAATGTCACTCGGTCTTCTTCTCGCCTCATCAAGAAATTATCCACACTTCATGTTTTTAAATGTTTATTGCACATGCAAAACTACACTACTGATTACTGAAATATGTACACTGCGCCAAAAAAAAAAAGTTAGTTCTATATCTTTTATTTTACTGGACCGATTGACGAAATTCAAATTGCGTTTTCCATGTCGAAAGCGCGACTTAGGGTATGTATTAGATTTATATGTAGCTTTATTCTAACATAGGTATTTTGACACAAAAATCGAACATTTTCTGAAACGACGTACCTTTTTTTCCATATTTCGATTCTATGACTCAAATTATGCCTAGATATAAAATTTTGTAATTTTTGGTGTGAAATTTAAAAATTTATATTTGCGAATTTTTTCAGTTTGCGCCAAGAATAATTCACTTATCGAACTTCTTAATGTATGGCAACATATTTTCCTTTCCTTTTTCTTCATTGTCCATGAGCAGAAAAAATTCATACTTTCATACACTCATACTCTCAAAGTGCGTAAACCACATTTTTATTACTATCGCTTATAATAAATATACCTAATTTCAAAACGTGCCAAAATATAAATTCACATGTATCTTAGGAAATACAGTCAAAAGTCGTTAATTCGGACACCCATAATTCGGAATGATCTATAATCCGGACCTCAAAACTAAAAACTTTCTGCGCATGCGCCGCGTTGACACATGCGCATAGGCGTTTACGCGTGCGCGTAAGACCTTTTACGACTGCGCATATGAGTGTGCGCAAGTGCAGAATACGTTTTCGCGTGCGCGTTTTATGTATAATGGACGTATAAGCTAAAATGATCTAATTATCTATTTCAGTTAATGTTGATGATTGCGTTGTTCCTTAATTTTTGAATTGGATCCGGCTTATATTTTTTTGCAGACTGTAAGAGCAATTTTATAAAAGTAAGCTTAAACTTTCGATTATATCAGATAGAATTTCCGATATATATTGTGCTAATATGTAAAGGATCTAAAGCGAAGTATGTTTTGAAATCCGAAATCTGTTTATCAATTTCACGCTGCTCTGTGGTGGCGGGGGGGTGGGGGACCCAAGGCGGGCGCGTAATGAATTGGAAGTTGATCTGTCAGCACTATCCTTATCTTCAGGGCAGATGTTTTTATTTTTTTATTTGGCTTATAATTCCTTACTAAATGTAGTATTTCATCTCGATATGTACTCCGTCTTTGATATGATTTAAAACAAGTTCCTCGTCATTATAATTCGCTTCCGATAGCGAAGAAAGTAACAGAGAGGTTATTGAAAACGAAAAAATTTCGATTGACAAATTAGTCGGTGTTCTCGACACAGCAATTATAGGACTTGAACAGCGGAACTTTGTAACTGAACAAAAATTATGTCTGTTTAATAAAATTAAAGAGAAAGTATTATCACATGAAACGAAGCAAAACTTAAACAACTTACATTGAAAGAAATGTTTAATAAAGTAAACAAATAAATATTAAGCTTTTTCTTTTTGTAGATTTTGATACCCTTTAGATCGTAATTGTTCTTTATTTCATAAATTACGGTTTCATATTTTTAATTTTAGAATTTCTGCATGCCATCTTACGAGATTTAAACTGATGATCTATAATCCGGAATTGCCGAAGTCCCGACGAGTCCGGATTAACGACTTTTGATTGTAGTAAGTAAAATGCTCTGATTTTTTGCAGATGTGCTTAGAAATACGTCTACTTTAAGATGATTGCAAAACTTTTATAGGTTATAATTCAAAATTTTTTGGAAAATTTATAAAAATCGTTAAAAGTACAAATTAAAAAAATAAATCATAAAAAATTGGCAAATTTTATTTGGAATGAACCTAAATTTTGAAATGTGAAAGAAAGAATCAAATAAGTTTAATCTCATTGAGGAACTAAAATGTTGAGAGCTAATTTTTTAAAAACTACTCATGCGATTTTTTACAAAACTTGGCAGTTTGGCATAATTTGAGTCATAGAATTGAAATATGGAAAAAAAATTGGCTTGTCATTTCAGAAAAAGTCCGATTTTTGTGTCAAAAATACCTATATTAGATCAATGCTATATGTAAATCTAATACATATCCTAAGTCGCACTTTCGAGACATGAAAAATGCAAGTTGAATTTCATCTATCGCCCCAGTAGAATGGGAGATATAGAACTGTCCCTTTCTTTTCTTCATTGTATGTACATTATTTAATACAGGGCAATTTGGTATGCACTAAAGCCTCCCATGAGCCTTCGCCTTTTATGACCTTTCTCTAGGTCTTCCTCTTAGAAAACTAAACTTTAGGCACCTATCAGACTGAAAGCTAGTGCCCTATATGTATTCATTAGTAGGCATCACCAATACATTACACTGTCCATACTTGATTGAAATAGAGTGAAAGCCTATTGAAAATATGACCAAAAAATGCTGACATCAAATAAAGGAGTTACTTACATATTAGTGCCAACAAATGAATCCATAATGAAGGTGAAAGATACATAATAAAATATTTGTACAGAATGCTTCTGGATCTACTATGAGACTTCTAAAGCTATAACATACATGTGATTAATAATTAGGAATCAATTCTAAAATGCCATAGAATAATATTTAAAATGCCTATGGGTGTCATATAATGGCTGCAAAAGAACACACACACACAAAAGTAATCCTTAGAGTTTATAAATGTCTATAAAGAGTTCTTTACTTTCACACAAGTCACTTGATGATCTCCAGTCTGGACAACATATCAGCATTGTTCAACTTAGCACCAGGGCAATTGTAATGCTAGAGCCCATCTTTGTAGCTTATATCATCATGGTGCATTCTTTGTAATGAAAGTTAATGAATTGTGATTAGTAATCAGTCTCGTGGGTGATCCAAAGATCCATGTTTTGAACTTTTTCAGGCTCCAAATCACAACATAGGCTTCCCTTACGATGGTTGGCCACGCCTGTTGTCTAATTGGGTACAACTTTCCATTTTTCCATTGAGATAAACAGGCACAAACACCTATGTATCACATTGATATATCACATTGAATTATGAAAGGTAGTCCTGGAACAGGGGTATAAAGACTGGGTGCCTCCACAAGATACAGTCAAAAGTCTTTAATCCGGACTCGTCGGGACTTTGGCGATTTCGGATTATAGATCAACAGTTTAAATCTCGTAAGATGGCACGCAGAAATTCTAAAATTAAAAATATGAAACCGTAATTTATGAAATAAAGAACAATTATGATCTAAAGAGTATCAAAATTTACAAAAAAAAAAAAAAAAAAAAAGCTTAATATTTATTTGTTTACTTTATTAAACATTTCTTTCAATGTAAGTTGTTTAAGTTGCTTCGTTTTATGTGATAATACTTTCTCTTTAATTCTATAAACGGACATAATTTCTTGTTCAGTTACAAAGTTCTGCTGTTGAAGTCCTATAATTGTGGTGTCGAGAATACCGACTAATTTGTCATTCGAAATTGTTTCGTTTTCAATAACCTCCGCGTCACTTCGGAAGCGATATTTTCTGGATCTAGAACCATACTACAGATTTCGCTGTCCGTTAATTGATTGATGATTGGGGCATTGTCGTCGCAATGAAAAACTTCTCTTATATCATCTTCATTTATTACCGCTTCTCCACATTTCTTTACAAAATCCAATAACTGAAAAATTTTACCTTTAGTTTGTGATGTCCGAAAACTTTCAAATTCGCGGCTATAATCTTCATCCTCCTCACCATGAAATATGGTAGATGTCCATAAATTATGCCAAGCATTTTTTAACGTACTTGGAGACACATCCTCCCACGATCTTGCGATGCTCCACACGGCAGATTTTATGCACACGGCAGATTCCAAAACTCTTGAATAGTCTTGCCACTGTTCAAGAAATTTAACATAGATTTTAAAAATGCTGCTTTATATTTGCATTTCAGCGCGTGCACTATTCCCATATCCATAGGCTGAATGATAGACATACAATTTGGAGGGAACAATAATATGGATACATTATCTTTCACTAAAACTTTAAGTGAAGTATGCGCCAAACAGTTGTCAACAATCAGGACTATTTTTGAGTCATCAGGTAAACCAACCGAATTCAAATGTTGCCGAGCCTCCGGTATAAGATGATTTTCAAACCAATCATTCATCAACACTTGTGTCATCCATGCATGTTTTATTTGCGCGAATATATAATGAAGGAAAATCTTGTTACTCCTTTCAAATGCTCGAGGTCGTGCATGTTTTTCCGATTACGAAAAGTTTGCACTTGTGTGCATTCCTGCAGCATTTGCACATGCTAAAATTGTTAGTCTCGCTTTGGAATCTTTGACACCAGTTGGAGCCTTTTCTGTAGAGGTTTGCCAAGGTATTTTGCGGTACATACATGTTGCCAGAAAAGACCAGTTTCATCAGCATTGTAAATTTGTTCTGGCAGATAAGTGTTCACTAGTAATGAATTCAATGGAATTCATCTGCAAATTGTTTCAGCAGCTTCAGTATCAGCTGAAGCTTTTTCATCAAGAAATTTTTAATTGTCTTATACCATGGCGATTTTAAAATTTTGTTAACCAACCTGTCGAAAATGTGCACTCTCCGTTTAAGTTCATTTCTTCATGAAATATTTTGGTTTGAGCCATTAATTACCATTGGACCCATCAATGGCACGCCCTTGCTGCGACGCTGTCTGACCCATTCAATCATCACTTTGTCATGATCGTCACTTTTAGCATAACTAACCCTTTTTCTGTTATTCATTGCAAGTGGAGTGTCGGAATCTACAAAAAAAAAAAAAATAATAAATAAAAAATAAAAATAAATAAATAAATAAAAAGTTCCTTTTTCTTTTTGCTTATGTCATATACAGTTGAGTTTCTTCAATGTTATAGATCCTTGGGTTTAATTTTGAGTCCAGGATATCCTTTATCCATTTTTTGCAGCAATTCCACTGAGGAGGTGTTGATGGACATCGAAACATACTTTTGTTTTGTAGATCCTTTGGGAGCTCCAGCATCGGAAATTCTATTTGACATAATCGAAAGTTCAAGTTTACTTTTATAAAATTGCTCTTACAGTCTGCAAAAAATAATAAGCCAAATCCAATTCGAAGATTAAGGAACAACGCAATCATCAACATTAACTGAAATAGATAATTAGATAAATTTATCTTATACCGTCCGTTATACATTAAATGCGAAGGCAAAAACGTATTCTGCGCACACGCATATGCGTAGTCGTAAAGGTCTTACGTGCACGCGTAAAACGCCTGTGCGCATGTGTCAATGCGGCGCTTGCGCAGAAAGTTTTTAGCTTTGAGGTCCGGATTATAGATCATTCCAGATTATGGGTGTCCAAATTAATGACTTTTGACTGTACTTATCTAATTTCTCAAATGCTTTGTTGTGTTCTTCTGTCCAGCACAGCTCTCTGGGACTTCTGGTGAGCTCTGTTAATGGATAAGCTGTTTCTGCATAATGTGAATGTAATCTTTATAATAATTACATGGGCCTAGACTACCTTTCAATGACTTCTTTGTTTGAGGTCCAGCTAGTTTTGGGATAATCTTCACTTTTTCTGGATCAATACTATGACTGCCGTAACCGATAGTATGTCCCAGATACTTAATATGTTTTAGCAATGGAAAATTTTTTGCAATAATGGGAAAACTTTAGTTGTAACAATTTTGAAAAAATGATTTTAAGATGTTTTAAATATTCATTCCAGCTCCCTAAATAAACTGCTATGTCATGGTAGGCTCGAATGAAATCTTGTATTTAGCAAGTGCTTTGTTCATCACTGTCTGAAATGTTGCAGTGGTATTGCCTATCCCAAAAGGCATGATTTTAAATCAGTACTGAGCTAGTTCGATCCGAGGTACGAATCCCGCGAACGGGCTGCCTGCATGGGTGTTTTCGTGGTTTTCCCCATGTGTGGCGTGTATACGAGTCAGTTTCCCTTAGAAAGTGCTCCACGAAGGCATCCCTCCCCTTAGGCAGATAGTCCTAGTGTGCTTCACCGTAATTAAATACACCACACCACTTTACAATTGTAAAGCAAATTGATGGTTGATATCACATTGACTTTCCCAATATGGAATAAGAGTTCTTTGGGATTTTCCATACGGAAATCATCTGGTTTTGTATGGTTTTTCTTATTATTTGGAATTTCTTATTATTTGGTTTTTCTTATTATTATTGTTTGGCAGGGAGTACAAATTCAAAAAAAGTAAAAGTTTTTGGTTAAAAAAAAAAAAAAAAAAAAAAAACCAATCATACTTCAGCCATTTTATAGAATCAGGGGGTAATTATCCGGAATATCCATTTGCTTCTTTAATCATATATCTATTAAATGACTTTATCAATGTTTAAAATTCAATTTTAATAAAGTTTTTATACAAATTAATGTGAATTTTTACTGCAAAAATGTGCTTCATTATTTTGTTTCTATCAGTGTAAGAATGTCAGCCACTTTTCTACTGAGGGTCTAGGGGAAGGTAGCTTAATTTGGACCGTAGCCTTGTTTGGACCATGATATACAAAGACTGATGATATCTGTGAGATTTGAGATAGGCATTTTGTTATACGTAGATGTAGAAGAGGTTAATGCAATTGTGTTTGTAAAGAAACACCTCGTGGTTACATTGAGAGAAGTGTTATTCGTTTGGCTCAGGAGAAAATCTGTTATTTCGACATAAGTGTGAAAGCAGTTAATTCTCTAAACGTAAGTAATTACATGTCTTATTATACCATCACAAAACTTGCTTATTTATCTACAACTTGCAATTATAATTTTGCAAGGTTATGTTAGTTTGACGTTTCTGTACAATATCAAGCATTAATGCAGAAATATTTCCTTACGGAAATATTTCTGTAAAGGAAAGTTCTTATCTGTAGTAGCCAAGGTCATATAAAGGTATTGAGTAGCCCATCCATTTCCTGTTTCAAGGAAGGCAGACCAAGGTTATTTGTAATGGGCTTTCGTCCAGGAGACGAATGGGTAGTATTCTAGGGTTAAAAAAATATTTTCAGGGTTACGGTGTCAAAAAAGAGGACGTTATGGATTATGGTCTGAAAATGATTTATTGCTTGCTGTTGCCACGTACAAAAATGGTGATTACGGTTTAAATGAATGCACTCGTGTATATGGTGTTCTTAAGGCAACTATCAAGATACATGCAAATGAAAAAAACTTTATTTACATTAATGTTAAAGCAATCTCCAGTATTTTCTGCAGATATGGAAAGAATTATTTCTGAGCACATCCTTCACTTAGAAGAATGTTTTTTTGGTTTAACAATTAAGGTAGTTAGAAAACTAGCTTTTGATGTTGCGGAAAAATATGACTTACCAAATAGTTTCAATAGAGATAAAAAAATTGCTGGTAAAAAATGGTTCTATGCATTTTTGAAACAAAATCCCCAACTTTTGCTCTGGACACCCGAAGGAACCTCAATGGCGAGAGCTAGAGGCTTTAATAGAGAGAATGTGAATCATTTTTTCAATCTCTTAGAACGAATTGTCGATAAGCATAAATTTACAGCTGGCACTATATTTAACGTGGACGAATCTGGGTTTACCACTGGGCAAAAGAGTCTCTCGAAAATAATTGCTTGTAAAGGAAAGCACCAAGTAGGAAATCTAACAAGTGGTGAATGGGGCGTCATTACAACCATGGTATGCGCAGTTAGTGCTGCAGGTCTATATATTCCACCAATGATAATTTTTAAGAGGAAAACATTTCACTCTGATCTTAAAATTGAAGCACCTCCCGCCAGTTTTGTTACGATTTCGGAAACGGGATACATAAACTCAGATCTCTTTGTTGAGTGGCTGAAACATTTCCAAAAGCATATCAGCTGCAATGTAGATGACAAAGTTTTGCTATTGCTTGATGGCCACACAACACATAGCTAAAGTTTGCAGGCATGTGAGTTTGCTAGGGAGAATGGAATTGTCTTACTTCAACTGCTTCGCCATACCACCCACCGTTTACTGCCTTTGAATATAGCATTTTTTTTTGTTCTCTGCAGACTTATTTTATTCAAGCTCAGGAAACATTTCTTCGCTTATATAAAGGGGATAGAGTATATCAAACCCAAATGTCAAAATTACTTAATGAGGCATATGGCAGAGCGGCTACTGTGGCAATTGCTGAGAGTGCCTTCCGTGCTTCAGGAATTCGGCCAGTGAATAGGTATGTATTTACAGATGACCAATGTGCACCAGCTGATGTTTTGCAACCTTCTGAAACCCCTGTTTCACCTTCTAGTAGTGATGATGATGAAGATAGAAGTGATAATGAAAATAAACGATTTAGGACAGTTCTTGAAAAAATATCACAGTGAGCAAAGAAAAATCCAAATCCAACTGGCCCTTCATCTTCTTGCAGTGCACCAATAGCCCAGAAAGCAGTGGAAATAACAAGCAGCCCTTACAAATCGCAGTTATACCAAAATTTAAAAAAAAAAAAAAAAAAAAAAAAAAAAAAAATCAGTTCACCAAAGTGTAACAAAATGCAGAAACATAAAAAAGAAACTGATGATTCATGGTTTTGTATATTATGTGAAGAAACCAAGGAAGAAGAAATGATTACAATGTATGAAATGTCATGCTTGGATACATACTCGATGTGCTGGAGTTAGTACTGCAATTAAAAGGTTCTTTTGTTGTAATTGCCCTTAAGAAAGCTCATGGTCCAATTTAGGAAACTGGTTTTTTAAATTGAACCTATGACACATTTTTTTTGAATTCATTTTTCACTGTTATAAATAATTTTTAAAATTTAATAAATAGTTTTGTTTTGAAGGTACACTTAGTGAGTTTATTTTCTACTACTTAATTTTTATTGGCATTTCTTCCGTCCTTCTATATAGTGAAAAATACAAAATTGGTTCAAATTAGGCTACTCTCCCCTATATAAATTCTAGAATGATTTGGAGCTGTTTAATTGTTATTTAATATGCAGAGTATTTTTTTAAATATTCGATCTGACAGCCTTTTTTCCTGGACTGAAAATCTGCATTGTTTCCATTAGAGAAGTAATTAATTACACTTTTCGTAAAATTTACAGGTGTTTTGATTAGCATTCTTCATCCACTAGTTTCCAGAATCACCAATCATTCAGGGTTTGCACTTAGAAAGAGCTGTTTTCAAGAGATTAGAACAGAGATTTTTCAATCCTTTCTGTCTCATGCACCTCTTTTACTGCTGCTAGGTGATCATTATATCCCTCTTTTCTAAAATTTGAAAAATACATATATATTTGTATAAATTTAGATTATTTTTAATGCAAAATTAAGCAAAATAAAGTATGGAAAATGTTGATAAATGCCAAAACGGAAATAAAATTAAAAATAATCGTTAACTAAAGCGAAATCTTTAACAAGTAAATAACAGTCTGACTACCTTATCCCTAGTTGAGAACCCTTGAAGTAGAGGCAGAAAAGTCCATAGGTGAAACATCAGGGGACTCACAGGAATGCATTGAAAAGGTACAAGCAATATATCTTTATTTTTTCAAGGAATGTCGTAGTACGTTTCAAAGTATGACTTATTGCTTTGTCTTGATGAAGTTTCACTCTTTGAAAGTCATTAGCAATCAAGACGTCATATACATCTGAGATAATCATAAACCCCTTACTGGAACTTTCTTCGCATTCACGGGACTTGGTTTATACATTTTTTTCTTGTGCTTTCTGATAATAAATCATAATTTTAGATTTTATTTTTTCAGTCATTTAGGTAAACCCATGCTTCACCAAGGATCATATTGTATTTCTATTTTTCTTATAAATAGTTTTCATGAGAGGTTCTAAACATGATTCTGATTTGAGCCATATGCTTTAACAAAAGATGGGAAACATTGTGCTTTTTACTCTTTTTTTAAAGTTATAAATATTGGTTTATTATTGTTACTACAGATGTATTTAAAGACTTTGCAATTGATTCCTGCATTGGCAGATTTTCTGTTGTTACCATCGGTTTAATTTTAGGAACATTAGAAATAGTGTATACTTTTTCCGGGTATTCATTTGGAATCTTCTTGCCATGTAAAATTAATGATTGATGGTTTTTGCTGATCCAATTAATAATGTTACTTATTTTGCGCTTAGAAATATTAATATCATGTATTTCACAACTTTTTTGAATTATGGAGTGGGAATATGTCTTTTCGGAAAGCACAAAAGTATATCTTTCAATCCACAGCATGCATGTGACATTTTAAAGAAGAATAAATTTAAAAGTAGCAGATTATATTTCATATTTCAAATAATAAGCAGTTGCCAGAATTTTTATTCTAAAGCATTTGCTTTTTTAAAATTCTATTTGGTTACATATAATTGTATAATATTTGGTTATATGATCACCTTAGTTAACAGTATTTGTTTGTGTAATTTTATCATTAAAAAAAGCTCCCCCCCCCAACCCAGTGCCTTCATCATAATGTGAGTTTGTTTTTCCCTCGTATAAGATTATTATAATAATATATTTACTCTGAAATTCATGTGTATTATGTCTGTACAGATTAATTATTTTTATGTGGTAAATATTTGTTTAAATATATATGCTTTGATTAAAGGTACTGTGTTATAGTATAATATTGATTTTCTGTATTATGTCATTTTTGTTCAGAAAATCCCTTGGTTAGATTTAAGTATGTGATTCTTATGTTTTCTCAATAACATGCTAGTTTATATAGCCACCAAATGATCTTCCAAAAGTATCGTGGAAGTGTTTTTTTTAATGCTGAGCTACATGGACAGTTTCATCCTATGTTGTTTTCAAAAATACATGTCTCACTTTAATGTTCTTGCAGAAAGTATAAATCAAAAGTGGAACTTTTTTTAAAAGATTTGTTAGTGGAAGGTGAAGAATTTGTGATCCATTGTGAAATGCAGGATAATACTGAACAGGTCAGTTTGATTTAATTATGCTGTTAGAGTACTTCTTCTTTCTATTTTTCACTATTAAAAATTTCACTAAAAAATCAAAAATGTAGTTTTGATGTACCAAGTACTTACAGTAAGAAAAATTAGAATTTAGCTGTAATTTAATTTGTGGTAAATGTTTTAGATATATTTGAGCCTCCTTTTTATCTGTATGAGTATTTACAGACTTCAATAATTTGCACCGTATGACTTTAATTTAGATTTTATCTTTTAGGATATTATTATATCAGGTTCTGTATGCAGTAAATATGTATAGATTTTTAAAAACAGTTTTTGTAATAGTTTTTCAAATAAGAAGTAAAGAATCAAGATTTGTCTTTTAATAAATCCAAAATTTCAATTTGTGCCTTTTTTGTAAACTGCTAGCTATGTTATTAATCCAGTTGCATGTGTATGGAATGTGATGGTAGAATTAGCATATGATTCATTTTGGAAAAAAATATCACTTCTTTTTTTTTTTTTTTTTTTTTTTTTCATTTTGAGAATATAAAAATTACTTTGTAAATAATTTTCTTGTTGGATATTCAATTTGTTTTTTTATATAAAATACTTTTTTTAACAAAGAGTTCTTTATTTTCTCCTAAACAATCTGTATCCTTTATCCCACCCCTTTCTACTGACATTATAATCTTTATGTGTAACTGTATTTAAATGTAAAATAGTTTTGCTTTTAATAAATCCTAATTTTTAATTCTTAAGCTAAGATTTATTTATGTAAACAGAATGAAAATTAGAAACGAAAAAAAAAAAAAAAAAAATTTTTAATAGAATTAGGATGATGTGAACTGTAATCCACAAAATTCTTTTATTTACCCAGCCTTTGGCCCCCAAGGTATGCAGATATTGGAATTCTTCTATATGTATTTTGTAGTGGATGGTGATGAAGAATATTGATTTATTTACTGTGTTATGAATTGCTGGCCATGATCTGGTTTTTAAATGTACAGAATGTAACAGCAGCTGAAATCTATCAAATTTTTATGCATGGTAAACAGATTATGAGTACCTTTGTAGTACAAAGAATAGTACAATAATTTAATGAAAAGTGGAACCATGTTGCATGACAAGGAATCCAATAGGTAATCATTTCTTTTGACTGAAAATGTCATCCAAGCAGTGGAAACAGAGATTAAAGAGAATACATAATTTACCTCATCAGAGCTTGCAGTTCATTTTCCAAACATTTCCATTCGCAATAGCGTAGTGATATTGTATCCAATAGAGTGTAATTCTACAAGTTGTGTACTTCCTGAGTACCACATGTGCTAACAGAAATTTATCAACTTAAACATCAAGACAGTGTAGTATATTTTTGACACTGTACTTTGAGGAAGACTAGGAATTCTTAAGTCATATTATGACTAACCACAAGATAAAACTGTTGCAAAAAGGCCCCCAGGGGAGAAAAAATCTGCAGTCCAGGGAGGGGATACGCACATCGTCGCAACACAGGGCAAAGCCAAACTGGTGATGAAAAATTGCAAATTCCTAAGTGCAGAGTCTTAAAGTTTAGCTTATAGGCTTCTTAACACACATTAGTATCTACAGCTACTGTCAAGCAATGCATAAATTGCATCATAGTAAGTGTTGCACTGCGGTATTATTTTCGTTTATGGCAGTGCTTATTGCCATATTCCATATGCAGCACGAGAAGTCGTTACAGCTTTTGCCTGGGAACTGTTTCTTAATCATGACAATAACTAAACCTTGTTGATATTTATCTATTTTGCTAGAGATGCAAATTGGGTTGGGGGATAGGCTTTATAACTTGTTTGCTGTTATGGGTGTAATTATTTTACAATATGGGAATGGAAAGTATGATGCTTTTATTACAACCAATTCTGAAACACTGGTGAAAATTGTATACAACTGTAGTGCAACATGTACACATCATGCAGCAATAAAGTTTTCATGCTACTACATATCTTCATTGGCAGGTGGAACTTTCTTTATAAATCCTGCCTGTATAACCAGATTCAAATATTTTGTACTATAAAACAGTACAGAAACATAAGCTAAATTTGTATTTCATGAGGAATAAAATTCAAGTTATTAATTTGAAATTTTTTACGTTCGTGTTAAAATATTTTTTTTTAATTGTAGTTTTTTTTCTTTTGTATAAAAGATGAATGTCCCATCATGAAAGATGGTGTTTTATTTTCTGTGTAATAATTTTATGAATCCAACAAAATTGTTAGCTTATGTAGTGACTTAAATGGATAGTGATAATAAATGAAACTATTGGCATGCAAAATTTCAAATTTAAATGTTCATAGTTTAAGCTTTTGAATTATCTTTTAAAAGTTTTTGTTTGTCAATTTATTATAATACATACTGTTCTGGATTTTTGTAATTTTTGAAAATGTTATTCAGTTTGTTATAGTTTTCAGAAGGTGCTACAGTAGACTTTTTCTTTTCTCTTCCTTATTTAATATGTTACAATCTGCTTCCATATTTGAACCCAAATTAAATTTCATAGTTGCATTACTATGAACACCATGTCTTGTTAATGCCGTCAAATGATAAGTTTGACAATAAGCAATTATGAATGCAAATGTGTTGTTCTGTAACGTGGGTGATCACCATAAATGGGAGGCTTCCTATCTCCCTTAAAAGTTGATTGTCTAGGTACTGCATAAAATTTACCATTGTCTCCTAGAAAAATTAGTAATTATAAGCTATAAACAAATTAATGGAGCATAGGGAAAAGAGAAAATTGAATTTTATTCTTGCATAGGAGCATAGTAGATAACAGACACAACAAAAATGTTATTCTGTTAAAAGAAACATGTTTCAGCATTTATGTATGGTATCAGGTTGATTATCAGGTTTAATAGTTTGAGATGATATAAGCTGTGCTTACAGATCAGAATTGATTATTTTAGGAGGACCTATAATTGCTTAAGGATTTGTTTCAAAGATTTTATGTCCATGTGCTTTATTATTTGTTAATAGCATTTCGCTTGACTCTAATTGGACAGTGTTTAAAGCAAACCAAAGTATCTGTGTGGAGCTTAGGTTTTTGCACTTTGAATATATTACTGGGACCAAACCATTCACCAGAATTTTCACCTTTTGTGCAAATCTGGGACATGGCTGTACAGCAAATACAATTTTTTAAAATTAAATTCATCTCTGAATTTGGTTGAAAAATATTGTTTCTATAATATGCTTTTGGAAGCTCTAGGTGACTTCTTAGTCCATAGATTCTGAATGTAAAATGCATTTTAGAGAGGAAGTTTTTATGGATTTAAAATTTTTGTGAATATTTTAAGTATGTTTAATGCAAATAGTAATAATTTTAGGTAATTTCTTCTGTTTTATAATTTTGGAGGTGTAAATTTTGCACTTGTTTTTGAAAGATGTCACATTTTATACTTCCTTATGTATTTATATATTTTATAGAATACAGGCAAAGGTTTATCACCTCTAAAATGGCATGGCTTCTGAGATTTTTCTAGTGCAAAGAAAGGACTATTCTTTTATTCTTCTGGAAAGTAGTTGGCCAAAATTATAATAAAATTTTCTTATTTGTGGCCTGTATAAGAAATGAATATCTATTTCTGTAGGGGAAAAAACTCACACTTTACTTTATTCATGCATTGAAAAAGGTCACCATACTACAGTTTTGGCCCAGTGATTGATGGGCTTTTATACTTACTGAAAAGTTTCATTAGATTTATGGAAGATCTGCGAGAACTTTTTAATGATTCATTGTTATCAACCTGGTTCTCTGTAGCATTACACTAATGTGAGTTGGCTGTTTTTTGTTAATTGCATCTGGAATTTAAAAGTAAACATTAAATTAAATTAAACTCCTTTTGTTGGATACAAAGTTGGACATTTTGACAGCATTGTCGATGTTTTGTATACATGTAATGTATATACCTCCTTGTTAAAATTACAACACCTAAAAGAATTATATAAATAAACAAACTTAAGAGAAATGCAAAACATTGTGCCGTGTGCAAATAATTCGAATTTCAAAATGATACACTATCTGGGCATCACCCTAAAGAAGTGGATCTGGCAGGTGACATAATTTGATGCATAACTGAAAGCTATAAAAGTTTTGGTAGTGGTTTGTCTGGTAATATTTATACATTTATGAGACAATGAGTAAGTCAAAAGAGTTTACTGACTTTGATCATTACAGCATAGTGGGATGCCACCTTTATGGGAAATCAGTTCCCGAAATTTCGGACCTTCTACTGAAGCCAAAATCCACTGTGAGTGATGTATTTGTGAAAATGGAAATGTTGAGGCAGTGAAACTGCAGAAAAATGAAGTAGCAGGCCGGAAAAAATTAGTGAACACAGCTGTAGAACTCTGAAAAGGGTAGTGAAACAAAATCACAAGTCCTCATTGTTTGAAATCTCTTAAAATTTCCAAAGTTCATCAGGCTATAGTGCCAACAACAGCACTTTTCATCGAGAGTTAAAAAAAAAACCCTAGGATTGCATGATCATGCAGCCGCTCACAAGGCCAAACATCACTCCCCAGAATGCGAAACGATGATTATATTGGTACAAAACTCAGTCATTGGACTGTGAACATGTGGGAAAAATATTCTTTGGAGTGATGAATGCCATTTTACAATCCGGCCATCCAATGGACGTGTCTAGGTTTGGTGGATGTCTGACAGGCGCTTCTTAAGTGACTAGATTGTGCCAGTTGTAAAGTTTGGTGTTGACAGCATCGTGGTGTGGGGGTGTTTTGCATGGTTTGGCCTACGTCTCTTAGTTCCTGTGGTTGGAAACAATAACTCTGAGATATATGTGGATGTCTTGGACAATGCTGCTCTCCCAACTCTGTGGCAATATTTCAGGGAAGGCTCATTTCTCTTCTAGCAGGATAACTGCATTGACTTTTAAAGACTTGTGCAGTCATGGTTTGATGAAATGGGTGTTCGAATACTGGACTGGCCTTCTCAGAGCCCTGATCTAAATTCCATAGCATATGTT